CAACAGTTATGTATTGGAAGATTAAAGAAGGGTTTGAGTCAAAATTCACTATTGAAAATGGTTTTCCAACTTTTGCGAGTTACGGAGAGCCATACATATATGGAACTCCGTCACTTGAGTTTCCGGGATTGATTAAAATCCCGGTGCATGGTGGGCGCCCGTGTGAGCCAACAGATCGAATATGGGCGCCTACATTGGTTCTGGATCCACTAAAACGGTGGATTCAGGAAAGATTTGGAGGTCTTGTCGACTCTACAAAATCGATCATAACGCAGTCGTGTATGTATTCTGTGACACCAGATGAGGATTTTGTGATTGATTTTCTTGGTGGGGAATTTGGGGAGGATGTAGTGATTGGTGGTGGATTTTCAGGGCATGGTTTTAAAATGGGACCAATTATTGGGAAAATATTAGCTGATCTTGTTATGGTTGGAGAAGCAAAAGATGTGGAGTTAATGCATTTTGGGATTAAGAGATTTGAGAAGAATCCTAAAGGAAATTTGAAGGAATTTGATGATCAAGTGAGTTCAGCTCATTCACTATCTTAAGTGTAGCATATGTTAATTTTTTTGTCTTTTCCATTGGTATTGTGGCTATTGTGCCTATGTGGTTTCTTATATCAAGTGATGGTCTGTCTTGATCTTTTATGTTTGGGAAATGTAAAGTGAAATATAGGTTTGAGATGTGACTCAAAAATTATCTATAGTATTAATAAAAAGAGTGCTTCTGCTTAGCATTTGATTGAGCAGCTGGTGCGCAATTTGTTTTTCTAATCTATTTCATCCCTCGTAAGCTTATTAGTTATCGAACCCTCACCAATCAGATGAACCAATTGAATACTAAGACTCCATTTCTAGTCTTTCTCCATTTTTAGTTATGGTCATTGTGATTCGCACGAGTCATAGTGCTTGATGGCAGGAATGGTTTATTTCCTCCCACCTAAACTAGGGAACCTGTAGCCGCTACTCTTTGAGTGTGCTATGGGTAAATTTCGTTCCAGTACAATAGCTCGCAAACTGTACTGGAAAGGTAAAATGCACTAGACAAGCGTCATACGACGAGCTCGACCGAAAAGTATGCGGAGGGTTTCGGGGGATCTTCCATTTGGGGATCTCCTGCTCAACCAACTCGGCCACCCTAGCGTGTCGAGATAGAACAGTCTTGTAACTCATTTCCTTGCTTTCTAAATATAGAAATTTCATTCAAAGTATTGATAATACCACAAATTAGATGCACTAATTCAAATAGAAATTTTTACACCCTATAGAAAACCTTAGTACCCTATTTATTTTAAATAAATACCATTTTAAAATATTACATCCTATAGATATCTTTTATACTTTATAGCCAAATATCTAATTATAGTTACATCCTACATTTAAGGCACCATATATGCTAAATAATATTTTTCTCTCTCCTTTTTAGTCTTTTCTCTCACATAATCACAATAAAATTGACTAACCACGTTCTCTCTCTTTTTGCATATACTTTACTCTTTCTCCCTCAACCCACGATTCATACCTCTCCTCCCACCCAAATTCTCTAGTTCTCCTCCATTATCACTCCATTACAATCGCCTAGGGTAAGTTTAATTTGTTGAAGCAATTGGTTCAACTGTAGCGACTCGATTCTGCTTGGCAGTGGTCGTTGAAGTAAGGTTCACAACTTTTGCGTAATTCATGGCTTCGTTTGTGGGATTTGAGGGCTGGGGATTGTTTGTAGTTGCTGTAGGAGGTTGGGCAGATGTGTTAAGGGGCTGACCAGCCGGAATTAATGGCTGGCCGCTGGCCGGCGAAGCCATCAGGCTGCTTCTTTCTCTAGATCGCCCAAATCGCCTATTTGTATTCAGTTGTATTCGAATGTATATTTCAGCTGTATTCACATGTATTCAGTAGCATTAATTTATATATTTTAGATGTATTAAAAAGTTATGCGTATTCTCTTGTATTCAGTTTTAATCAGTTGTATTTAACTATTTTATTCAGCAGAAGTTAGTTGTATTTTGTTGCATTAAAGAATTTTATTCAGTTGTATTCAGTTGTATTTTGTTGTATTCAAGTATTTTATTCAGATGAATTAAGTTCTATTTTGTATTCAACTGTATACAGTTCTACTCAACTGTATTATTCATATGTATTTCTCTTTATTCAGCTATAATCTTTATTATGTATCTTTCAAATACAGACTAATGAGGGATCGTTTTAGTTCGTTGAGTTAAATTAGGAGAATATCATGTGATTTGATTTCCTTAGTTCGTGGAGTTAAATTAGGAGAATATCATGTGATTTGATTTCCTTCCGTTTTTAACCAGTTTAACCTTCTGTATTTAACGTTAATGCCGCTTGAATACAACTAAATACATGTCAAACTTAGCTGGAATTACAGTTTATACGCCTATTTTTTTGGTTGTATTAATGAATACAACAGCTTAAATACATTAAATACATTGTATAAAAACATAAAATGTATCTATAACACGTAATATAACAAAGGGTATCTATAAATGACTAATTAGACTTAAAAGATGATGCTTTATGAAAAATTCTCATTCAAATATCCAATCTCAATATCTTTTTCACGGTGATGAATATATAACAAATTTCGTACCTCACTGAGAAGAAGAAAATTAATTCTTTGAAAATCTTAAGTCTTTTCAATAATTTAGAATGACTTTGGATAGTCAATCGGAATTGGCAGTCATTCAGTCAATTTCAATGCTGCAAACATGTGAATAGGGAGATACAATTAATTGAGAAGTTTTATTTTGTATCTCATACAACTGACACTAGTTGTATGAGGCTCGTTTTTGTCTCACAAATTTGTGGACCCCAATCTTACACTTTTGGGTTCAGAGAAATCTGGGTCCATAAAACTGTGAGACAAAAAAGTTACCTCATACAACTAGTGTCAGTTGTATGAGACACAAAATAATATTTTCTCAATTAATGGTACCAAGTCAACATAGGACCACCATTCATTATAAAAAGTGAGTGAAATAAAAAAGTGGATTCTACCAAGCATGTAACAAAATAGACCCCCATTTTCCTATTTATAATAAAAAAAATTAAAATATCAGATAAGATTATCTAAAAAATAATGTTAAAGCACCCTATTTTTTGATGAACAATGTTTTTTTTTCAAAAGTGCTTTGGACAGAATAAATTTGTGTTTGATTAATTAATTTGAAAAATACTTTGAAAAGTATTACTGTTTGAAGAAGCTTCTAAAAAGTGCTTTTGGGAAAAAAGGACTTTGTTCTCTTCTAGTAAAAGTACTTTTTCCGCTAAAAGCTTGGCCAAATATCTTAACTTTTTTTTAAAAAAACTTTTGGCTCAAAAAATATTTTTGGCCAAAAAATAACTTGGCCAAACATGCTATAATGCGAGTGCAAAAGATTTACTTATTAATAGATGAGAAGTTCATTTTCCGCTTGAAACCGATGACTTTGTTGGTCCTAGCTGGTATCACTCTTTTGGCAAAAACTTTATACAAAATATAATATACAATATTTTTATCACTCGTATTTCGTTCTTTTTTTGGCTCAATTATTTACAATAGGCAACCTTTTCTGGTTTCAGGTCACTATTTCGTGTCACGTATGTGTTGATCAACTTAACTCTTATATCAATAATTGTAAATAGGAGAGCTCAAACCAAAAAGAAAAAAAGGTGATATAATAGATGAAAGATCCTCTTTAATCCATAAATCATTACCATTTTCCTTTACAATCAAAGAGGAATACAATTAGTTTATTGCAAAATTAGGATCAGATTCAGCCAACAAAGAGCTTAAAGTAAGTAGTTTTCACTATAATTAGTTGTGTTTGACAACTGATATTAAATTTTCAAATGTAAAATAAGTGTTGGATGAGATGGTTTTCCACTTGAACTAAATTAATGCTGATATGGAATGTGTAAATATTCACATAAAATTGCGACCCGCGTTTATCAGAACACAATATTTTTAGCGCAGAACATAAAATTACGAGTAAAAAATTATTAAAGTTGCAACAAAAAGCATATATAATCCCAAAATCATAAAAATTCAATGAGTTCAATACTAAATATTTTAAAGGTTCAACTCATATAGCTTAAATCCTGAAGACCTCGACAAACTTCTAACATTACGTGGAGCCAAAATGCTGTAGATTCCAGTTGTAACTAAAGCTTAGTGGTTAAGTCTGGAATCAGATGCTAGAATTCATTGCAACAATCAAGATAGGATCAAATCAAATCCACTTCACTGGTCTTTTTTCTCTTTCGTTATACACTTTGAGAAATTTAGCTATAGTTCATATTGGCAAAGGTCGATCATGGGTATGTGCATGAGCTTCACGGAAAAAGGTCAGTCCCAATTTTTCACTTCTTTTACCTTCTTAGATTTACAAAATTATGTCAATCAGTTTTACGGTTAAAGTTTTCCCGCAACTAGTGTTTATATTTCTCTTCAATTAAAATCATTCATATTAATTATATATAAACAATCCTTTCATTATATTCCTCGCATAACTAATACGTGAACCATATGATCCCTGGTATTCACAGACTAGAAGTGAACTATAAGAGTATAAGATATGATTTTGCAAATGTAATTTTAGTTATTAGAGTTCTTTATAAGATACTAATAAAATAACACTCTTAAGCTATCTATAAATAAAATACAACAAATATTTGGTAGAAATGACACCAGGTAACAATTCCAGAGGGTTGCTATTTAAAAATTAGCTAGTGTATTCTAAATTTTAGTTTTTCAGTTCAAATTTTCAGGATACAAAGTCTTGAAGTTTAGATTTTAGTTCAAATTTTCAGGGCCAAATAAATATTTGCTAATCTCTAAATAGAAGCCCTAAAAATGGCTATTTATATACTTTGTGGTCATTTCCTCTATTTTGCAAACTTTATGTCCTAGGCCCAAATTTGGGGATCTGCTTTCTTGGGCTAACTGAGTAAGTCCAGCTTTCAAGCCCATTTCATATCCATTAGTCATCCAATTATTGACCCTAAAATATCTCTCTCTGTACATTCCCTATTCATATTCCTCACTTTCTCAGCAAATCGTGGTGGCCTAGGGTTTCTTTTTGTTGCAGTTCTTCACTAGGGTTTCAGGTTCCTCTCTCTCCTTTCTCATTCTTCACCTGTAGGTCTGTATACTTTGATCTGTTATTTAATATCGAAGTTATTACTTCTTCTCCTATCTTTAGATCTTTAATTCTGTGGTTCCGCGAATCATAATTTTATTAGAAATTTCGCAGAATTGAAAAAAAAGGTTTTAGTTTCATTTAATTTGATTATGTTACGGATATTCAGGATAGTATTTTATGATTTGTGTATGAAAATATAGTGTTTCATTGAACTCTTCAATTGATGTCTCTTATTGTGATTAATTTAAAATCTGTGTATAGTTTAAGCAGTTTTATAGGTAACTGTTTCTATTAAGAGCTTAATTTGTATACACCGTGTAAAGAAATTCCTATACTATCAGGTCACCCAAAAGGATATTTACAGGTGTAAAGAAAATCCTATACTATTCACCCAAATAGGTTACCTTACAAAAGATAAAAATGACCTGATAGTATAAAATTTCTGTATATAAGTTAAAACCTTTTAGTAAAATTGATCTGGTGAGCACTGTGACATGATATAGCAGGATAACCAGATTTCTACAGGTATTACTTAACCAGTGTATACAACTTAAATCCGTATAAGCATACTACAGTACTACCAAGAAAATAGAGTTGATAATACCTATTTGTTTGATTTTGGCAAATTTCTGACAGTATTCAATTTCTTAATTGCCTGATTAATTTGAGGTTTTATTCACGTTGCCTGAAATGGGTTTTTCTTTGATAGGTTACTATTCCGAGATGTCAAGAGTGTATGTTGGAAATCTTGATCCTAGGGTCACTGAAAGAGAACTAGAAGATGAATTCCGTGTCTTTGGAGTTATAAGGAGGTAAAGCAAATTATACACTGAATTCAGCATTTGTAATGCGTTGAATTTTTTTTGCATATTCTCCAAGATAGTTGAATTGAAGAGAGTAACTACCTCTTATGTATAGGATTTTTTTGTGCAATTTTAATTTGTTATTGGCTTTTGAATACTGCCTATACAGTAGAACAACTAAATATTTAGCTTACAAATACTACCTATTATAAGTGATTGCTAGTTATTCTTTCTTCATTGCTTGGATTGTTTGCACTAATAATCTAACATGGAGGAGCATTAAAGTCTTATTTTGTGATCAACTAAAAGGATATAATATTAGTCTAGTATCCTAGCGTGCTGAGTATACCTGTTTCCCTGAAACAGTATTTATATGTATGGAGGTTGTATTTTGCTAATTTTATAAGAAATGAGTGTAAAATACTTCGCAAGTACATTATTCCCTAATATTCATAAATAATTTATGAAGGAAGTTTCTAATGAAATGGGATGTCGTATAAAATCTTCATGCTTTTGTTGCTATTTGATCTGTTGAGTCTGTGCTATGTACTCTTCTGAATAAAAAACACTGATTATTGGATGTCAAAGAAAGCGACATATTGAGATTTAAACCAAAGGGATTTGGGTTATAAATTCTAGATATTAAGAGCATTGGTTGCACTTCAGTATCACTAGAGGTTATTTCATTTATGGAATTTGACGACTTTTTTTTTTCCGATCGTTCTTCTTGCTATAATGCTTTCTGATTAGCAATGCCAAAAATATAAATGCTTGCAGTGTTTGGGTTGCAAGACGCCCACCTGGTTATGCTTTTATTGACTTTGATGACCAAAGAGATGCACGGGACGCAATCAGGGAAATTGATGGTATGGTCCCTTACTCCTGCATATTGTTCAACCTTCTGAATGGGTTTATTTATCTTATTTATGGCCATGCAATTTTTAGCCTTTTCCGATGTTCAATCCCTTTTAATATATATTGTAGGTTGACAATCACTTCTATTTTTATGCTGTCGCTTTATACTATATATTCTGTAGTGTTCAGCAAATATGTCGGGAACTGATGCATTTGATGGTGTTCTCTTCCTTATACATTAAACAGGGAAGAATGGATGGAGGGTGGAGCTCTCGCACAATTCTAGAGGAGGAGGAGGAGGAGGAGGAGGCCGTGGAGGTGGTCGCGGTCGCTCTGGAGGCTCTGATTTGAAGTGCTACGAGTGCGGTGAGGCTGGTCATTTTGCTCGTGAGTGCAGAGGGCGTGGAGTGCCTGGAAAACGTAGAAGTCGCAGCCCTCCTAGATATCGGAGGAGTCCAAGTTATGGTCGCAGGTCAGAAGAAAACTTCATTTAAAATATACAGCAGGACATGCAAATTCGCTTTCCCCCCTCCTGATTTCCTTTTTGAAACAGGAGTTATAGTCCTCGTGGACGTTCACCCAGACGCCGAAGCCCATCGCCTCGTGGTCGTAGCTATAGCCGATCTCCTTACCGTGGACGAGATGAAGTTCCTTATTCCAACGGGTGAACTTACTAACTTGGGAATCTTTTATTGTGTCACCTCTCTTTATTGGATATTCTTTTCTTAATAGTGTGTAAATGTGGTTAAAGTTTGGTATTTAGATACTTGTGCATGTATATGTATTAGGATTTGTCTCTTGAATTATTTCGTATCCATCTGGTGCACCATGCCTTAGTTCGTGTAGCATTGGTATTGACAGTGTTGCTACCTCATTTTTGGTTTTGAATCGGGATGTTCGCTCTCATGCAATACAAACATGTTTTTTTATTTATTCTTTCGTATTGATAAAGAATGTTATCTTTTTTCCTTAGCTTCTCTTCTGCTTTGTATGCAGAAATGGCCTCAGGGACCGAATCAGAAGCAGGAGCTGAATGGAAGAGATGATTACTTGTCTCGATCAGGAGTTTTTGGATATGTGTTACTATGCTTGAGTTAGTCGCAGCTGTGTAAGTGAGGCCATGCCCTCAACTTAAACGGGTTTCAATTTCGTTTTATATTATAAGTGTGTTTTTTATTTTCTTAAACTTTTCCCATTTTAAGAACCATTATCTTAGGGACTTAGACCTTATGTATTTTATGGCATCTATTACTTTTAGAGAATGAAAACGTCTTATGAATGCTGCTAAAAATTTATTTTTGTTTTCTTTGTGTTGAGGTGTCTTCTGCTACTGCTTCGTTGGTTTTCTGCTCCCACACTCTGTGGTTTCGTTCTTCACTGCCCTGCTGTGGGATCTTCAATTTCAAAGATTGTGGATCCCAGCTAGCTACTACATCACTATGCTTCTGTTTGATTGAATCTCTGCGGCTATGACACGCCTCACCTCAAAGTGTAGTGGTAATTTAAGTAGATATTAAGGATGATGAATGGCATCACAGTCAAATGGCAGGTACCTAATCTGTTACAGAGTGGTTTGAGGAACTCACATTCTCGTTAAACAATTGATCGCCACTTCAGCAAGGTCGTGGTGCTGGGTATCTGAGAGTTATGAAAGCTTACTCATGGAAGTTCCTGGCATCAAAGATTGTGTCAACCTATGGGCCTGTGATTCTCTTTGCTTTTTATGCTGCTGCTTTCCTCTTTATTTTTTTCCCTTTTAAAAAAATAAAAATCTGCTTCTCTTTATTTTGATTTAAACTATTTTGTGTTCTTTTTCTTTTCATCTTTTTCTTTATCAAAAGCTTCCTTTTTTCCTCGTCATTATCTCTCTGTGTTGATGGGGAGAAAGGAACAAATTTTTACCATAATATTGCTATTCAGTTTGACTAATTTTCAAGATGTGAACTTCTCCGCACAAATTCACATAAGAGTTTTCTTTTTTATAAGTGGCCTTATAACCTACTTCAGAGTTTAGAAAGATATGGCATCCAGAGTTTGCATAAACCAAGACAGACCTGTGGTACACTTTGCTTTTGTATGCTGTAAGTTTCTGTTTTTCTCTTTTGGTTTTAATCATCTTTTCTTCCCAACAAGTTCTGATGAAGTTTTCATTTTGCTTAAAGCCCTTAGTCTTTTAAAAATTTAGAAGAGAGAGTGAATTACTTGGAAGTGATTACATCAATCTTCATTTGATTCCTATAGTGTGGATTTTTTTATTGCCTGCTTTGACCCCCTGGTATACATCATTGAGCTGACTGAGATTTTCAACCCCGATAGAGCTTCCCTACTTCAGTCCTTACTCTCTTCGTACTGGTTTTTGCCCTTCCAGAGGACTGGCTGCTTGATTTTGCTAGCTATTGGTAGAAATTCAAGTCACTAAACCTTGTCTCTTTGCCCCTTGCCTTTCCCAAATTGCCTGCTTGAGCAGCGTTGAAGCATCGTACTAAGGTCTATTTTGTATTTGTACAGTTTGAAACTTTAAGGTTTTTCACCAGTTGCCTAAATTGTTATATTGTGCTAGCCGTAACAATCTTCAGTTTATGCACGTCTACGTCACATGTATTTTCAATCTGTGAGAGATTCAGGTCTTGATAATAAAGAGGGGAATAGGCTTAGCCCCCTTTATTTTGATGATTTTGCCCTCTTTTGAAGATTTTACTATAAGATTTTTGTTGCTAAACTACGCATAGATATTTGCATGCTAGTTATGGACTTGGGGTGTATCTCTGTTCAGTAGCGTTATCTCTTTAAATTTCTTTTCTCGAATTGCTCGAGTTTCAGTATTATGTTGCCTTTCATCTTTAGCATCTCATTGGATGTTTTCTGCCTACGCCTAAATTGTCTTTTTTGTTTCCAAGGAAAGCCATGCAATAGATTAGACGTTCATTTGATGAGATTAAACTGTATAGCGCTCCAGGGTTTTTAAATTTTGTAATGTTAATTAATATTTGGGATATTATCACTTTTATCCCACGCCCGAAACTAATTATATTGGTAGCCGAAAAAGTATGCAAAATTTGTATAATGTTTGTATATGACATACAAGATGTGTGTGTATTCAACTACTATTTTGAGAGCGGCTATATAATTTTATTTTCTCTTAATATTTTATGTTTTTACGGCAAGTTACTTTCTTCACTGAAAAACATCGCTAAGTTTTTACTATTAATTATTACTGTACCCTTTATTCCATTTTATATGGCAAATTCAGCCGGAAAATACTATTGCTTATGGCCATATTTAATACTTCAAATATAAATATATTGCCATTTTGTAACATTTTTTATACAGTTCTGAATATGTAAATTTATTGAAAAAAGTTGAAATATTTTGGGTTTATATTATATTAGTTAAATGAGTTGACCCATATTTCAAACCCTGTGGGTTTAGCTTGTGAATCATGAACTTCTAAGCAGAGGAACAAATTCAATACCATTTTTTTGTTGTTTGGGGGGCGGGGAGTGGGGTTGGGTTTAAATTGCAATATTCTCTTAGCCAGAGCCTTACTACATTGCTAACATGAGAAAATTGAAAATGGAATAATTGGAGGTTAATCTTAATTATAACAAAGAAACACATACGTATTTATGTGAATACATTCCTATTAAGTAATGTTAAGAAAATGAATTTTTTTTTTGGTCAAATATCAAAACTTTATTTAACTAGTAAAAATATTTACAGCACCTTTAACTCCTTTGGACTTAGGAGTTAGACTCAAATTAACATCAAAGAAAAACTATCAGAAAAAAGACAAATATCATTTACATATTAATAATTCCTCTACTTCTACATTTCATAGAGGAATACTATCCACTCCTTCTAAGATCTTCTTCCATTTTAGCCTCTGTTGTCCTTTGATATGCAGTTGAAGGACAATGTCACATATATCTTTTTTGTATCCGTCTGTTTCCCCTGAAATCTGCGCATGTTTCTTTCTATCCATGTATGGTATATCACTGCTGCAAACAGAAACGCCAAGATGCTATTATGGGGTCTACCATTTTTTGTTCTTTTTATCAACCATAAGACTTCATCTTCCCATGCACCAATTTGATGTCTTTCTCCCATCCAGTTAAGCAGTGTGCTCCACATATTTCTTGAATATTGACATTCAAAGAATAAGTGAGTCATTGTTTCTGCTTTTCCACTACTGCATAATACACATCCCATATCGACCTGTATTCCCCAAGCTGTCAACCTATCCACTGTGACCAGTCTGTGGTGAAGTGCTAGCCATAAAATGAAGTTGTGTCTAGGTATAGTGGTGCCTAATATTAAGCTTTCCAACGAACCTTTGGAAACTGAGGTCTCGATAAGGTGTACATCTTCTGAATATTGAATTGCCCCTTTCTGCAAAAGTTGTTTATATTGGCAAAGGAATCAATAGTCAGGTACCACTCTCTGATGTCAAACACCTTTCTTACCAGCCAACAGGCTTGATTAGGAGTACTTATTGTATGGAAATCCTGCTTTTTGATGTATATACAGTAGATTCATTTGATCCAAAGGGCATCATTTTTTGTATGTATCGCCCACATTTGCTTGTATATTGCTACTTTATTCCACCATACAAAATCCATGACATTTAGACCACCAGCTGAAGTTGGCATACAAATACTATCCCAAGATATCAAAGCTCTCTTTAAAGGAATTTGGCTACCTGTCCATAGAAATGATCTGCATACAACATTCACCAATTGTATAATCTTCTTTGGTAGCAGGAATACCTGTCCCCAGTATGTTTGCATCTCAAATAACACATTTTTTATCAGTTGTCCCCAGTATGTTTGCTGTATTGATAGCTTCCTTGAAGATAAAGGAACTCCAAGGTATTTGAATGGTAGAGCTTCCAGCTTGAATTGATAGTCAGTACTGATCATATCTTTGAAATCCTGAGTAACTCCAGCTACATAGATAGAACTTTTTTCTAAGTTAGCCATGAGTTCTGTCACCTTTGAGAAATGATTGAATTTGTCCAGAAGTAGTTGGATAAAGATTTTATCAGCTGTACAACACATAATCAGATCATCTGCAAAATAGATATAAGTCAGATTTAATTTGGCACATCTTGGGTGGAAGTTGAATTCTGGGATGTCTTTGAGAGTCTTCAATGTTCTACTCAGGTACTCCATCACTAGGACAAACATGTATGGGGACATGGAGTCCCCTTGTCTCAGTCCTTTCCTTGCTTGAAATCTTTTGGTAAGCCCACCATTTATCAGTATAGAGTAGTTCACATTAGTTACACACTCCATAATCCACCTTACCATCTTATTTGGTAACCCATATTCCTGTAATACCATTTGTAAGAATAGCCATTCAACTGAATCATAGGCCTTCCTTATGTCCACTTTTATAATGCACCTGGGTGAGACTCATTTTTTGTTATACCCCTTAACCAATTCATGAGCAATAATCACATTATCCAGAATACTTCTCCCTTCTATGAAAGCTGACTAAGCAGGTCCAACTATAAAGTCCACCACTGTTTTCTGTCTTGATGTAAGGATTCTGGCAATGAGCTTATAGATAGTAGTGCAGCATGCAATAGGTCGAAATTCCTTGACAAATGAAGGGCTGGACACCTTTGGCACCAATGTAATAGTAGTACTGCTGATATTCTTCAATAGTTTCCCTGATTCAAAGAATTCCTTGATTGCCTTTATAACATCCTCTCCCACTATGTGCCAGTATTTCTTAAAAAACTCAACTGGAAATCCATCAATGCCAGGTGCTTTATCATTTGGCATACCTTTAAGTTCTTGCAAAATCTCTGTTTTATAAACACTCTTAACAAGATGTTGTTGTTATTCTCTATCCAAACAAGGTCCATTCCTAGCAATATTCACATCAAGACAGGGTAATTCAGCAGCCCTTGTTCCCAGTAAGCCTTCAAAGAATGATATTAACTCTTGTTCTACCAATAGGGGGTCAGTTAGCCTATGCCCAAGAGCATTACAGATGGTAGAGACTCTATTCCTAGCCTGCCTTGCTTTTAAATGAGCATAGAAAAACCTTGTATTAGAGTCTCCTGCTGAGATCCACATTGCCCTTGATTTCTGCTTATACACCTTTTCTTGAATACCTTCCCATTTTTCTATTTGCAGTAATAACTCTTTCTCCTTCAGGATCAATGGGCTATTGAATAAGTCATCATCTATCTCCTTTTGTACTTTTTGCACCTGATCCTTTAGGCTCTCAAGTCTTTTATCCACTGAGTTGAAAGCTTGATTCATTCCTTTTGCTTCGCTCCCTAGGATCTGCAGCTTTTGCCAGTCTGAATACATAGCATATCCAGTGATTTTTTTGCTCCACACCTCTTGAACCATCTTGCTGAATTCATCCTCATGCATAAGCACAGTAAGAAGCCTAAATGGTTTAGGCAAAGAGTTTCTTGTGACCTCAGTACTCAATAGTATGGGTGAGTGATCAGAGACCCCATAATTCTCATATATTGCCTCTAGGTTGTTATACTTCATGAACCAGTAGGGATTCCCTAGGGCCCAATCAATATTACTATAGATTCTATCAGTAGCATCCCTTTTATTGCACCATGACCATTGTCACCCCTTTTTATTCAGTAGTCCCAGATTTGTATCCTCAACCCAAGTTTGAAAGTCTACCACCTCACTTTGGCTGACAGGGTTTCCATTAATTCTATCATTTATAGACAACATAGTATTAAAATCTCCTAGCAAAAGCCAAGCCTCCTCCATAGTACTGTTAATCTGTCTCAGCTGCTTCTATATTTCCTGCCTTTCTGCAATAGTATTATATCCATAAATAAAAGTTAACCAAAAGTGGAATGTTGAGTTCTTGTCTCTGACTTCACAGTGCACCATTTGATCTCCAGATTGAATTATGGTAATGTCTACTTGTTGTGCCTTCCACAATATCCATATTCTCCCCTTAGGGTCATATGAATAGTTTGAAAATACTTCCCATTCCCCAAACTTCCTTCTAACCTTTTTTTCATTCTTTATTTTTACTTTTGTCTCAAGGCATCCTAAGACAGTTATTTTATTTTTCAGCAAAAAGGCCTTGAGTTCTTTCTGCTTATAGGGCTTATTAAAACCTCTAATATTCCAGGAGCTAATAATCATGGTGGATAAGCAAGAGGTACTCTTCCTTCTTTAGATGTCAGGCTAGCATCCTCCCCTTCCTGAATTCTCAGAGCCTTAAATCTGTTTTGATATAGTATATTTTCAATGGTCTCCTCAGACATACAATTCCTTATTGATGTTTTCACCTTGGGACACTACACCTGTTTCCCTTTTGATTTTGCTACCTGGAACTCATCATCTTCTTTATGCTCACGCCCTATGGTAACTACTTCTTGCCTTGTGTCTGCTGGTGTAGTCACTTTTTCTTTGCTTGGTTAAGCTCTAACTTCTTGGTCCTGTATTTTCAGAACTATCTTTGGCTTGGCAATCCACTTAGTGAGTAGTTTCCTTCCCCTTCTTTGTTGGTTTCCTACTTGACTTTTAGGGATAGGACCAGGCTGCTTCATCCCTTCTGCTGGAGCTCTACATGTCTCATGACCAATCACTAGGCATTCTAGACAGAATGTATGCTACCAATCATAACTCAATTTTTGCTCCCTATTTTTGCCCTCAGCAATTTCTATCAGTATTGTCTCAGGCAATGGTTGAGACACATCCATTTCAATTAACATGCGAGCATAAGATATCCTTGCTTCCTGAGCTGTTAATTTGTCAGTATAAAATAGGATTCCCAATCGAGTTCATAATTCTTCCTAAATTCTCCATTGTCCAGTATTGTATAGGTAATCCAGGGAAATTAACCCATACTTGGATATTATTTGTATTCTCCTTGCTCATTTGGAAATCTAGATCCCATTTCTTCAAAATCATTAGTGTATTGTTGAAGGTGTATGACCCATTTTGAAGTATTGCATCTCTATCATCATCAGATTCAAATTTGAAGATGAAATAACCTTCGTCATGAAGTAGTACCTGTGGGGTCGTAACAAACTGACATACCCCATAAACAAATTTCAGCATCTCCTGGAACTGAGGGGATCCACCTATGATATAGCCAATTAAGCTTGTTCTCCATCTTCTATTCTGTTCTTCCACTTTTATGTGGTTTAATCTAACAATTTTTCTTCCATCCTTGATAACATGGGGATAGTAATTCTATTTTAGCCCTTGCTACATAAATCTATTACCTTGGACTACCTCAGCTAGCGTTGGTTTTGAAACCCCTAGGCTTGTCGAGAAGTTTAGCTTCCTTGCTGCCGTCGCTATATCAGCCTCATTGAGTGCTGGATCTGCAGGTGACTCTTTCATTTGAGCTACCGAAGCTTGATTTTTCACAGGCTCCGTCAATTCCTTCTTTTCCTGTCCATGCAGAACCGTTGGTGTGCTACCCATGCCTTTCATCCAATGGAATAGTTGCACCGACCCAAGGGTTTGGGGAATCCCTGTTTCTGGTATAACCAGCCTACCATATTCTTCTTCTGCCTTCTCATCTTCATCCGTGTTCTTCACCTTAGCTATGGAGTTCCTCTTCTTCTGTCTAGCCATCCTTACCAGCGTAAGTTAGCAGTCCTTGCTTAACATGCGCCGAGAGAGAACAGACTCTTGAGAGTCAAGGGTTTAATTAAGGAAAGAAAATAGAAATTTAAGCATAATAATTCAATCCAAAAGCTAATTCATTTAAGATAAGAGTTTCAAAATCATATAAAAAGAAAATTAACACTGCCTTATGCCCAATCTGGTCAATTGGAGCAAAAATAACATAACACAATGGCCCCACATTTGATAAACTAAGAATAAGGATGAGTCTCATGCCCAACTTGGTTAATTGGAACGTGGATAATATAACATAGTAACCCAACATTGAATGAATCAAAAATAGGGGCGAGTCTAATTCTGATACCATATGATGAATATATTATTTGGTCCTTATCACACCTCCTTTTTGCGCGCCTACCCCGAAGGATAAATGCGTGAGGGAGTTTTTCCAATTTAAGTGACAATATTCGAAATGAGATTATTTATTTATTTCAGAGTCGNGCTAACATATTGTTATTTTAGGAAGAGGCCATGAAAATTCGCTAAACGGCCAACTCCGAAGTCTAACCAATTATTGTATCCGTTTATTGAGGGCCCCACGATTTGTAATTTATTTGGCGAGGCGCGCCTTATTTTATTTTTAAAGGTCGTCCTATGATGACTATGTTTTCTATTTCGTTTGTCTCTAAAATAAATGAAGAAAATGTCATACTTTATTTACATACTTACGAGTTATTATAGTTAAGTTTCGAACATGATTCGTTAAATCTAAAATGAACGCAGTAAGAGCAGTCCGTTTGACAGTTATGGGCCCAGGCCTAATGTGCATGGCGTGAAACTGGGCCTGGGCCATCCTTATTCCAATTGGGCCTAGTTGACTTATTTTATATATGTTTGATATTTACAAAGGGGCTGAAATGTGAACCCGTGCTATCTAATTAAACAATGTTCCTGTAAGTTTCAAAACAAGCCTTTTGTTCCATGCGGTAACTATTAAGTATTTTAGAAATAGTCTAAGAGGCCTAACAGGCCTTTTTTTTTGAGATATACTATTTAACAAATAATACTGAAACAACAGAACATGTTTTCTACTATATCAACCCATTTTTAACTAAGCGCACAAGGGAGGAAGTTTACAACTAAACTACTACAAAACATTGTTCAGTTATACATAGCCCATACCTACATGATTCTAGTAGAAGACATGAACTATTATATGTATACAGCTTAGTGTTCAATATACAACTAAAAGATATTCAAAACAACTTCAACTCTTCATTTTTCATTCATGCTTCAAATTTCAGCTTACATTGAACCAGTAGATCAGTTGTGTACCTGATATTGGAAAGCAAGTAAAGAAGATGAAGATCAGTAGAAGCAGTAGTAGTATAGCGACAACAAGTTCAGCAACACCGTGAAATCCTAGGAAATCGAAGTATGACCCCAACAGAATACTCTGAATCAATCGAGATCAATGACAGAAATTCCAAGCAGCAGAGGCGAGCCAAACCAAATTTCAGAATGGTTTCGAGAACCAAATAAGGTTGCAAAGATGACTCCAAACAAACCAATATGCTCAACAAAATGAATCCAGCACCCACAAAACAAACTCAAATGAAACAGAAACAAATAGAATGACTCGCTACTAAGGTTCTAATGAGTCCAATGACTCCAAACTTCTAGTACTGGACAGGGTTTCTCCTTCGAAAACAAAAGAAACTATGTTCTGGTCTTTTAAAAGAGATATAGGAGCTAAACTCCCAATGGGAGATTGAAAACAAATTCAAAGAAGAGAAAGCAATCAAGCAGTGTTTTTTTCTTTTGCTCTCCCAAAAACCCGCCTCACTTCAGTCTCCTCCTCTCTATATATATCAACACAGACCTCCCTCTTTAGCTCTTGGAGCACTTAGTCCATTAGAAAACTGACTTTCTCCCCATGTGCTCCCCTCTGTTTTTCCACTCAAAACTCAAAAGAAAAGTATTCCCCATGAGATTCCCCTGATAGCCCTCTTTTCATTATTAAAATGGTTTTCCCTTTTATTAAACTAAACAAGTATGGGCAGCATGAATATGTCCTGACAGCACATGCTGTCAAGTTAACTTTAATTCATTAAAGGACTACAATGCACATGCTGTCCAAAATCTCAAATGAATAAACAAGGCCAGTAATTCTATATCAAGTCAAACTAAACTCTGAAATCTATATTAATTGTAGCTATAACCAATTCAAACACCTAAAATCTAAATTGAAACTTCAAAACAAAATCAACATTAACAATCGAAAGAGCTTAGCAGAACATTCAAGCTGAAACTGAAACTGAAATCAAAATGCATCGATGCTTAACAGAAAACCCAATAACAACATTACCATGAATCAGAACACAAGCCTAACAAACTATCCAGGTCAAACTTCTAAATCACCAACTGCACATTATGGGAATGATTGATTTATAATTCCAAATTAAGCTGAAATAGAGTGAAAGAAATCCTGCGAATATACTGAACTCAACGAAGATTGATGAATATCAAAGAACAAAGAAAACACACATCACATATAGGGGACAAACTGAACCAATGCCATACATCATTTAAACAAAACCACAAAAGAAAAAACGTACTAAAATGGACTATGAAACCAAAGCCATGATTAAAACTAACTATCAGGTTAAACTGACTTACACATAACGAGCCAATAAATTGACCAAACAATTTACAACATGTTAACAAACAATCAGAGGAACTGGACCCAATAAACGGTCTGATGAGGAAAAGAGAAGTACTGAACCAAAGATAAGAAACAAATCAAGACAAATATACAATTTAAAACAAACAAACAAAACTATAGAAGGCAACAAAAGGAATTAAAGAGAACTTACTGTTCTTTTCTCAGATTTCAAACAGTATGTTCTTTCGAACTTGAGTCCTAATCAGTATTATAC